GCTGGGATTCCCACCCTTCGTGGGTCAGACCTGCTGTGCTTGCCCCATGGGGCTGATGAGTGCGTTCCCGTATCCTGGTGCGTCCAAAAGGCAGCGGTCTCACCGTGAATCAGCATGTTGCCTTCACTCCGGTTTCCCCGTGGACACCAAGTATCTGCTCCACACCACGCTAAGCAGGGAATATAGGGGTGGGCGGGCAGGCGGGCCACTTGCCCTGTCTGTCTGTTTGGGCATACAAATGCCACTGGTTGCCACTAGAAGAGGCAGTGGCTGTTCAAAGCCTGAGAGGGGCAGGTGCGAAAGAAGACGGTGCGTTTGTTGGAAGCAGCGATGACGTGGTTTTAGCCACTGAAAGAGTAGCGCAGCCTGCAGCGTAAACAGCACTGGGCTTTTCCCCTAAACAGGGGTGGATTTTTTTCTTGAGATGAAGGCAGGGGTGCGTGGGTGGTTGAAGGTGAGTTGGCTGCTCTGCTCACTGCCACATCATAGGTCAGGTCCTGCAGGCTCCCTCACTCACAATTTATTGCTTTTGTAAGGTAACTTTCCAGACTGAAGTCCTCCGTTCATCCCCAGAGCCAGTACAGCAGGTTATCACCCAGTAATTTTCCCTGTGGCAGTGACCCAGGAGGAGGGGCACCTCCGCAGCTGGGGCCAGATCAGTCCTCACAGTGCCGTTAGGCAGCGCCTCAGTGGTCGGGAAATGTCTTGCCTCCTTCTGCAAAAACAGGGTGTGTGCCATCACCTGCACCCAACACCCAAACCCGGGGGGTGGGGAGGTAGGGGGGGATGAAAAGCTGCTGCTAACGGGATGCCCTTGGCGGATGCTGAGGAGCCCCAGATGTTTCTCTCAATAGCTGCACTGGCTAAAACGGCCCCCAATCTACCTCCCTAGGGTCTTTTTTAGCTGTCTCAGCTCCCCCTTGGGGACGGGGGCAGCGAGGTGGGGGGCAGGCATGCCTTTAGCCTGCTGGCAGGTGGAACTTGATCCCCCGGGCTGCCTGCTGCTCTGGGTGCCTGGTTGGCCTTTGGCCTTTCTGCTGAGGCGCTCTTTCCTTGCACGGGCGAGCCCGGGAGCGACATTGGCCTTCTGCATATCGGGCGGCGTTATCGGGATCCCTCTTGCCTCCGAGCAGGCTGACAAGAGGTAAAGGTAAGGCAATGCTCTGCAATCGCTGCCGGCAACGGCAGCATTTCACCTAATCACATGAAAAGGATGTGTAAGGTAAAGGGAGTTCAGCGTAGCGTTTGCCCGCTGCGCCAGTCACCCCATGCTGCTGGAGAGCACACCGGAGCAGGAGCAGGAAGATAAAGCAGAGGACCGGGCGCTCCATGGCCGTGAGCCGGCAGAGGAACCGTGCCCCTCTAAGAACAGCCGGCACGCAGGCGCGCGAGCCAGCAAGGGGCTCGTGCCGCACGCCCGTGGGACTGGCCCTGGCACCCCGGGGCAGGCAGAGGAAGCGCCCCCCCATGCCTCTCCACCCACCAGCTGTTCCCCGAGTCTCTGTGAGATGGAACAATGTCCCAGGGAGACTGGCCGACAGGGTGCTAAGCTATTTGGATGGGGGCTGAGGGAGGGCTGACTACATAAGGAAATGGGGACCAAAAAAAACCCCAAAGGGATGAGGGGCTTATTTGCTTGGCCCAGCAGATATAAACCACCTTCATCGCGGTTTAACTTGAGCCATCAACCAAGGTGCTGAGCGGCAGCACCAATCCACAGATCTAAACAACACAGCCATCCCTTTTGGCTTCTTCCACAGACCAACACCCATGCTCCTCCTGTGAATTGGTGCACCTTTTAACATTATAGCTTCACCAGAATTCCCAAAAGACATGGCCTTCTCACAGACATCACAGGCTGGCCCACGCCCCTCACATTTATTCAGAAACACCCACCCAACCGAGTGCACAGGCACCTGCTGCTGTAGGAACTTCCAACAGCGGCACCAGAGCCCGAGCCCTGCCGCCTGCCCGAGCCCTGCCCTGCACAGGGACACCAGGACGGTACTAAAGCCAGAGACGAGAAGCAGACCCTGGGGCCGGCTCACCACCAATCCCTGCCGTGGCAGCAGCTGAGGGCAGAACAGAACTGCGGACCGCTGCAGTCCATGCGCTGAGAGCGAGAGGTCTTCTGCAGCTGACAAACTTCCCACAGCCTACAGTCTAACACACTTTCACCTTGAACGGCCATTAAAATACCCAGAGTCCTTCTGCAATCAAACAGCTTTTATTGAACTCTCTACATTGTACATTTGTGTAATAAATACAGCACAGAGTATTGATTTTTTTTCCCCCAGCTCCTTAAAGCATAAGAAGTCTTCCCTTTGTCATGGTGGTGCGTTGACACTCCTCAGTAAGAAAGGCTGTTGGAAGACAGCGGCAACGTGAGGCAACTCCTGGCAGTGAGAGTATTGCGCGACAGTCGTAACGGCAAGCAGACATTTTCGGAAACCATTTAGCGAGGAGCTTGGCGGGCAGATGAGACCAGTCTGGCTGCTTAGAGGCACCTCAGGGAGACAAGCTCTGGAGTCAGCCACAGCTTATGGAAGAAGTGGGAAGTAATATTGGATGCGATGACTTCAAAACGATCCTTAAGTCATTGCCTGATAACTGCTTGTGAAACACAATACAGATTTTACTGGATAACCATCCTCAGGTAAGAAAATACAAGTAGTTTTGCAGAGCCAACATTAGACCGAAAGGACTGATAATGCTCTTACAGCAACAAACAAATACAGCAGAAATTGTTGATACAAGTATCCATGTGCAAAATAGTTTTCAGGCTTAGTCAGCACTTGCATAACCAGCACAGGTAAATAGAAGACACAGGCGCCCACTTCAGAGGAGAAAAAACAAAACAAACAAAACACCACCCCACCAGTTCTGCTCAAGCTCTGGACTTGAACTTCCAAAGACCAAACAAACCAACTGCAATGTCTTTCTTGGTCCTCACAGTATTTGAAACAGAGGCGAGTCAGGCGTTAATCCAGCCCTACCACTACTAACCAGGACAGTAACAACACTCTCACATGTGCAAAAAAGCATCAGGCTCGTAAGCTTTTGCCAGGACAGTAACAACACTCTCACACGTGCAAAAAAGCATCAGGCTCGTAAGCTTTTGCATCAGAGAAACTTCAGCTTTGCAGGATTCCCCGTCCCCTTCTCTTTGCTGCCATTGTCCCTACTACAGGAAAGAGCTCTGGAAAGTTTTTCAGTCATTCAGCAACTCCCTCTATTCCTCCAATTCCTCTGGCCAAACCGCGTTGGCTACTGTGAGGACGGGTGGCTGGTGGCCACCGTTTCCTCCTTGTGCCAGGACAGAAGAGGAAACAGCTCCTGCTCTTAACAAACCGCGCAGGCGGAGCGGCATGGGTGGATTTCTTGGATACTTCGGCTTACTTGGATTGCTTTAGACTCACATCCCCTCTTCCCTACCAGCTCTAACCCCCCTTCTTTCTTCATCAACAATACCACCCAATTTCATTATGCTAATTTATGAACAGTAAACTAAAAAAGTAAATTGAAATCCTTATACTTTTCTCTGTGTCACAGGCAAAGCTACCCATCCATCTTCTGCTGCCCCAACTCTTAACTTCTCCTGTACTGCTGTGCTGAAAAGCAGCTTTGGGAATCTCCTTCTACCTGCCTCGTGTTTCTTGCTGAATTCAGTTGGGCTGGGACAGAGCGCTCTTACAGGCACAAACAGAAAAGGCATCACTGCTTTGGCTTTGAGCTCTTGCCTCCCTCCTGCAGGCCAGCATCACCCAGGGCACAACTGCAAAGGCTCTGCTTGATGTTCTTTGCTCAGCACTGAAGTGGGACAGGGCAGCTTCCGCCACCTCTCTTCTCTGAGCACACACTTCCAAAACATACAGCAAATCCCATTGCCACAAGGAGGCCAGCAAGGTAGAAAGAAATCTATACACAGGTGGTAGTAACTGATTTTTAAGTAACTCCTTTGTTTTCTCTTAGCTGACTCACAATTCCCTTCAGCTTTTTTTTTTTTTTTCAGAAAACAGACAAACCACCATGAACTTTGCTATCCTACCAGCAACAGCCCCAGCCAAAATAGCATTTTCCTACTTCAGCAGAAAGGGACAACCTAAAAAAAGCATTGCTCTTGCTGATCAAAAACTTTATGCTTGGCAGAAGGCCAGCCAGAAGACAATGATTAGAGCAGTCATTCTGAAGATGAAGAACTGCTACTTTTCTCCTGTAACCCCAAGCTGATCCCACTCATCATCACCGCTAACAGCGGTCGGGACCCTGAGCACAGCAGTGCGGGGGTGGGGCTGCTAGTGCCAAACTGTGCCACAGCTACTGAAGCAGTGACGAGTTGTAGCTGCACACACCTACTGCACATCACTCACCACTCCGCACCGTGCTTGCTAGTTACTTCCAAGTTTGGCTACAGCAAATTCAATTAGTAGTAGGGTTTTTTCTCCTGGAATAAGGCACTACAGTGTAGGAGCACTTGAACAGGTCTTGAAAGAGTTTACAGCTCTTGACAGATTACCTTTGGCTCTTCTAAAACAGGCATAAAAAGCAGCACTAAGATAAATAAGAGGACTGGGAGGTAAGGGGAAGGTACTAGACGAAACAGCGTGATTTTCAAAAACCTCCAGGCAAGAAACTTGATCTTGCCTTTCAGTCTTTTCACACTTGTGCTTACTTTTCAGGGTACAATTGGAAAAAAAACCAGGAAGGTCTGCCTTTGCAGTGAACACTGTGCAGAACCAAGTCACTATTTCATGTTCATCACCCCCCTGTCAGGCTTCCACTTAAGTCAGCTTTTCCTCGAGCAGCTGGCTGAAACAAGCCTCAACTCCAGCCCTCAGGGTTTCCTCCTGTTTTACCCTAATGTCACCAAAAGGCAAGCCCCCCCTTTTTTCTCTCCATGCCCCAGTCCCATTTTTGTCTCCACACAGGTATTACCCAACTTAACACCCTTGCACAAAAAAAAAAAAAAAAAGAAAAAAAAATACAGAAGTTTCCAGAGCTCTCTTGGGCTTCTGCTTCAGTAACTCTTCATTTTAACACATTTTATGAATCTGAAACAATGTTTTGGAACGCCAGACTTTAGACATAACAAGTAAGGAACGTACCAGTTAATTTAGGCAATATTTTTACATCTATATAGGTAAAAAAATAAATTGTTTTGATAAGAAATACTGTGTAACCTGATTAAGAAATAAGTCCCCAGAAGCTGTGCAATACAGCAAAATGCACTGGCTGTATAGCTGACACCAGGATAGCTAACTGCTTATTTTTAGAATTTAAAAAAACCAAAAACCCCAAAACCCCTCAAACCCCACACCTTAATGACAGACCATTCTACCCAAGAAATAAACCAGATTCTTTGTTGGAGATTGCAGAACGTTGTTGAAGAGGCTCCACATCCCTACTTGATGTCAGTTGGGATTTCTTTCCCGTTCTCGTGCAGTCACAAAGTTGAGGAGGTCGATGGCTGTAACGATGCCAAACACCATTTGCCGCTTACTGGAGGAACCATCAGTGTGATCTACACAGAAACAAAGAGGGGATCCTGGCTTTAGGAGGCGCAAAACCACACCATCCCACTGGGTTTCAAGGGCACTGTTTGTAAAGGCAGGTGCCAAGCCACCCCAGCATCACGTGCCAGGGCCTGTTGGTGGAGCTGGTTGTCGCTGATGGCCCCTGTACATTGAGGGGGAGCCCAAAAGGCATCTTGGCCAACAGTCACATAGGAAGTGGCAAGGATTTTAATTTCAGAAAGGCTCCTCAACAAAAAGGATATAGAAACGGAAGCATTATGGAAGGAAGGATAAGAGTCCATCAGATTCCTTTTTCTTGACATGAAAATTCAAATCAAATCCTCTGTTATAAAGCGCATTTTCCTTATACATTAGTTTCTGCAGCTCTACTTGAAGCAGCTGCAAACTGATGCTGTCCTGTTTGAACACGGGACCATATCAGGGGCCACTAGAGGAGGACATGCGACACTACCATCTTCCTACACCACTGTCAAATACGGAATTTGTATAAAAATCACAATACAACATTTTCCCATTTAAATCCAAAAAAACCTGATTAACCATCTAATTATTGCTGCATTGAGAGCACAGGTTCAAGCAATTTTTCATTGTGAACATAAGCCTTTGACCTGGGAACCAAGTGGCCAGGTGACCTCTGGCCCTTTATCTATGGTCTAAGTTCCCTGTTCCTCAAGTCTGGCTGTACTGAGAATTTTAGCCTACTGATATTACTCAAGTCTGTTCAGCCAGCTCGATTGTCCCGGACTTTTCATTTAGTCAATCTTTGTTCCACTGCAAGATTCCACTGAGATTCTAGGTTTATAAACAGTCAGCACACAGTCAAGAGCACATCCTTATGGAGATTATCAGGAACAAGCCCAAACTTGATGACTATTCCTCATTTACAGTTATAATTGAGATAGCAGTTAGATAAATTTATCTGGTGAGTCTTAATATTATTTTTAGTCTAGTTTCTCAGTGTGTGTAATTTTGCAAGTTGCCTGCTAAAAGGAAGATAAACCAGGAAAAAATATTATTCACATAGAACAGTGATATACCCTAGCTTTGCAGATTTATTTAGTCATTTCCAGCTCCTAAAGAAGGCAGTGTAAAGAGTTTTGAGAAGGATGAAGAAAAGTAGAGTTTGGAAGAAAAACATCAGGTGAGGGGGAGTTAAGTTTAAATGCAATAAACAGGAAAAAGAAATATTAAGCCGTCTTGAGACGCTGATGTCAGTGTTGACATCTAGATGTTACTAAACTTGAAGTTGTAATAAAGTTTTTGCTTTAGAAAGGCAAAAAAATTGAAGTGTAGTTAACCTGGGACACTCACAGCGGCAGAAGTGCTGGAAGTTGTATGACAGGAGCAGGAAGAAGCAAAGATCAGTTGTACTGCAGGAGCTTATTCAGAACTTGCTTACACACTCACATTTGTACTTGCTTCTCATTAACACTCAAAGATTACCTCTTACAAGGTGCAGTACACTGTACTCACATTGAATTTGTTCATGAACCACTAGAGCAAAGTGGTCTATCTCCAGGATATGAGAGAGTTTCCCCAAGTTGTCTTTCAGGTTAATCTGAGGAGAGAGTTACAAAACTTAAGTAAAAGTCCTTTTATGTTTAGTGGTTGATAATCCCCATATACTTCATGCAGTATTAAAAATAATACATCAGCATTTATATACTGCTCCCATCTGAGGTATTGTAAAACACTAACAAATCAAGGCAAACTTAAGATCGGTTTTCTTTGCTTCCAGTTTCCACTAAAACAGAACAAAAAAATGAATCAAGTTATTCATTCTGATTCTGTAAACATAATGAATATACTGAACAAACTGGATATCTGGAAAATGTTAATGATGGAAGAAGGCCAAGTGTTCCATGTATCTAACAGAAGAAGTTACAGTAAAACTCATTACATTTAGTGAGTTTACTCTAGCAAGACTGGAAAAGAGTGAATGAAACAGGCTGCAAATCATCGTGGAATGAATAAGATAAAGGCAGCAGGGGAAGAGAAAAGGTCAAACAAGCCAAAAACAAAACCAAGGGTGAAGACTGCTCAGCTAACACTGTATTCCAGTGCAAATCAAGGAACTGAGAATTAAGAAAGCATTTTTAGTTAAGTTCAACTTTGCTAAGACTAAACAAGAAAGCACCCTGTGTTGAGTCTACAGAAAGAATACAGATCCTTCTGAAATACTTGGCTAATCACCTGCTGGAAGCATTTGAAAGAATGTATAAAACTGTTCTTCCTACCTGCTTTAAGAGCATTTAAGCTGCAGCAACAGGTCTACTACCCAGGTGACTCTCCTCAGGTAACAGCAGCACCCACCCTCTGACGCGCTTTCATTAAAGGGGATTAAAGGAATTTACAGCAAAGAAAAGTCTTGCATGGCAGATTAAAAAAAAGCCTTTATCCTCCAGTGAGCTCAGCTTGTGAGTGAAGAATAAATGCCACGGCACGAACAGTTGGGCTGCACTGGAACACAGAGCTCTCTTCTTCATACTGTGAGTTATAAGAGATCAAAAGGATTCCCAGCAGCCTGTGTTTAAGGGACCAGCAGGCTACAGTCCATACTGAAGCATCAGTTCTTAAGCTTGTGGGCCAGGCAAGGGGTGGGGGGGAAATCTGGACCTACCACATTGAGTAGTCAGTCCCCACCACTGGCAGACAGTTTTGTGCAAATGCACACGCAAAGCCTAACTTTTGAAGCCAAGTTCAAAAGCTCCCTGAAGGGGTAGAGCCCCTTGCCATCTGATTGTGTATGATCAACAGGACTGCTTTCAGGGACTGGGCTGACTAAAGAGGACCAGGACAAGCAGCCCATAGGCAACACTGGCACAACTATGAAGACATACAACAAGCTTTGAAATGCTTAAGGGAAATTTAACAGAACTCCCACAGAGTTTTCACCTGTCTCACTACTGCTCACTCAAGCTCTCTAAAGATTTTGCCCACAAGTTTTCCCACATTTAGGTGCTTTTTTTTTAACCTAGTAAGTCTTTAAGGACAATTAGCCTCTATACACATGCTACTACACACTACATGTGACTGGTACTGCTTGTTTGGCCCTAAGGGCAAGTGACATGGCACCACTCACAGCTATACAACCAAATACTCTCCTTCCCCAGAAGTAGGCTCTGGTCCACCAGGGATCCTGGGGACACTAAGCCTTGTGTTGTTTAGCTGAGTGCTAAGCAATTTAGGACCCTAACCAAAAAAATCACACCAGGGAACAGGATAACAAGTCTCAGAGACCATGCCCCAGCCCTATCTTATAGAAAAGGCAGACAAGAAGTCTGCTAAGGCTATGCCTGCACCACACCTAACAGATGTTAGTAGTTGATGCAAAGATCCTTTGGGGAAGAAGGGGTAAAGAGACCCCAAATAACTGGAACTAGCATCTGACTCCACAAGAACGACCCTCTTCTCCACTAACATCCAGCGCTTGTTTGGACTGGCAAATTAGCTAGTATGTGTGACTCGTGCCCTAGAGCACTATCCTACTGGAGACTTTAAAAAAGCTATAACCATTACTCTGCCATTCTAAGAGATTGCCACAAAGTAATTGTGGCACTTATACCAAAGAAAGCTTCCTGTGTTGCTGAAAGATAGCTTTGCCTTGGTAGTCACAGGCTAAGCTGAACCCTTATTAATGCATGCTGTAGTACAGATCCTAACTGTACGATATCGTAAGATATTTCAGTGACACAGATGATCTGTTTTCCCAATTTCAACAGTAAATAAGCCAAATAAGCTTGACTAAAGTGGTAAGAAAAGCAAAATCCACAATACTTCTGAGATTATGTGCATTTAACCATGTTTCTCCATTAAATCAATTCAAATGGAAAATAATCAATGCATGATGCTTTTAGTTAGCATGTTAGCAATACCACCACTTCTGTGTCACTCCCCTTCCATCCTCCACCAAGAAAAAAAAGTAAGAACTAAAGAGAAAAGAAATGGGTAAAGCTGCTCTTTACTGAAGAGGCATAAGAAACTTCAAGCTACCCATGGAAAAAAGCCACAGCCTCAAAAGCTCAGAGAAGTGACTACTACAGCTAACACCAGTGTAGCTACAGAAATGATTGCACACCACCAGCCCCAGAAACTCTTAAGGCATCCAAATGAGGAAGAACATGAACTAAGCAGTTTTGTTACGCACCACATTTCCACCTGATGCTTGATTATCTGTCTGGGAAGGAAAAAATATATTTACATTTCTCCAAAAAGAACTAGCATCCCTTCTCAACCTCAGGGACTTGGTAGTTTGTAGATTGAACGGAAGCATTACACATACTTCCGGAATACAGCACCTCATCTACTATGAGACAGTGTTAGACTATGAGACTAAAAGCCTGGTGAAAAGTAGGTCAAGCATTCCATGTTAAAACCAAAATCCTTTTTCTGCAAGAAAAGTAAAGCAACAGCAACAATACTTATATATTTCAGAAGAGCTGGGAAGTTGTGGTATCTTGGCACACCACATTGGATGGACAGGTGAAACTAGCTAACATCTAAACCCACATATCTCAGTAACATCAGCTTTCAGCAGCCAACCCCCTGTTTCAGCAAGGCATCTAATACAAAAGGCAAAGAGTTGCTCATTTTTAGCTGATACAGAAATTATTTAGAAGAGCTGCTTCAAAATCTCCCTGTCTCTTCCCTTGGATAGTTACATGGTCCAGATTTGTGCTGGGGTTTTGGGGGAAGGAGGAAAGGACAACCGTGCTAGAAGAAAGCCTGTTGAAGTAAGGGAACAGCAAAATATAGAGCCACAACACAAACCAAGGAGCCATTGAGTGATCTAGGACAGAGATTAGAGAACGTCTGTGCTCACTAACAGCTGCTCTGTATGGTCCCAGGTAAACCTTACCCAACCTGATGCCATTGTAGTGTTAGGACACCTACAGCAGTACTTGAAACCAGAGAACTAGGAGTTGTAGACTGTATCTGCTTACCTGTTTAAACTGCTTGTAGATTACTTTGCTGACTACATCAGAAGGCTGAACTTTTCCAGCAAGCAGTGAAGAAAGCATGTTACCCAGGGTAACCATGCCCAAAATCACCCTGGGGAAGGAGAGAGAGAGAAGATAGGGCTAAACAACAGCCTCAGGTGTTCCTGTAGATAAAATCATCTATTCTCAGCCAGCCTGGAGAAGTCAGTTCAACTGCTTCATGGTATGGAGCAACATTACTGATGTTGTACTTGGATTCTGTGTCTCTGCAGGACAGAGTCCAGTTCTGAGAAGTTCTGGGGACTCACACAGAAGTCAGCAGGTGCTGTGGGTGCCTGGCCCTTCTGAGCACATTGCTCCTTATATCTCTAGTTCTTGCAACTGGAGAGCTTCTTGCAAACTGAGCGCTTTTGAAAAGCACAATTTCATTGTTTTAGAGCCTCATCTGTCCTTTTGAAAGGTGTGACAGGGCCAGAGACACACTCGCCTCAATTTTGCTCATACCCCTTCTCCCTGCAAGGATGTTACAAGGACCTGCAACAATTAATCCCTTGAGTTAGCACCATAACTGGAGCATAACTGCGCAACTCTTGGTTATTCAGCCATCCTACAGGAAACCTACAAGGTAATAAGGCAGATCAGCTTGCTGGGGACACCCTGGTTTTTATAGGGTTCACTACAACATTGCACTATAGTGCAGTGTTCTGAAGAAACTGGGTGAAAGCTGTGGTGGAGATGGGTATGTTTGGGGTTGGTTTTTTTAACTATTAATTTTTGCTTTGTTAAGTTAAACAGCTATTATAAAAAACAATGAAATGATCCTGCAGAGAGACACAGAGTAAGCATATCATAACAATCATTAGAAGCTTATTATTATGTGAAGGGCAGGACAGTCCTGGCATTGACAATATATGAAGTCCAGCATTGGTGTGGTTAAGGTAACATTTCTGAACTGTGTTACTGAAACTGAAGAAAGACGAGTGAGAGGATATTATACTTCTAGTAAACATTTAAAGACATCCCTTGGGACCTGGTGAGGGAAGTGATACATATGGATGAATAGTGATATATATATGGACATACCCAGATTCATCAACAACTGGTACCTGGTCGAATCCCTTCTCCCGGAGAATTTCAACAGTCTTTGCACAGGTAACAGTCGGAAGCACAGTCAGGGGAGCAGAGAGGCTTAGCTCCTGAACACTGATGTTCCACCACCTGGGGATGAAATAAAAACCAAGCTCATGCAAGGCTTATGGAGATAATGGAGCCAATTGGTCAGTACAGTGGCCTCCAACACTACAGGAATGACAGAAGGCTGCAAGGAAGAGTCAGGATTGAGCCAGAATCAGTAAAACTTTAAGGCTTTCAAGTTGTCTCCCCAATATCAGAAAGTCACTGCACTGTGAGAAGGCTTTAAGACCAAAACTCTCTTCCACATTTCATCTACTTTCTAGGATTACAGACAGTTAGTGAAGAGCATTAACCTCCCCCGTTTCATTATTTATATTTTACACAGAAAGTTTTGGGCTCATACTGAAAGAGTCATAGGTAGCAATTTGGGGAAGATCCTCCTCCACCTATGTAGACTTGCAGTGCTTTGCACTCAAGAATTCTGATCTTGGCAAGGTTCTTTAGATACTACTTTTTTGTTTCAGATACAACCCTTTTCACCAAAAAAAAAAACCAAACAAAAACCAAACATTAAGTACCAAGTTTTCTTCTGCTGCTACGCATCTCAAAGAAGGAGATCAACTAATTTAAGCAGATTTGATTAATAGCTACAACTATACATCAACACAATAGCATGAAAGATCAGCTAAATCAAAGGAAGTAGTGCAAATTGAAATAAGTTTTAAATTAGCAACTGCCATAAAGACAACTGAATAGACTTATGAAAACCCAAATGGATCTGACATGCTTACCAAGGTTTTTTGACAAGGTATTCTTCTTTCATGAACCCTTTCTGAATCATCCATTTATCGCTCAAGAACTTGGACCTGGAAAGCAATCAGAAGTGAAAAGCTCATTAGCAGGCTGAACATCTGACAGCAAACCTAATAGCACACAGAGGCATCTGTTTGCAGCTCACTACCACTAACAGCTAAAGCGTAATTGAAACTACACTGCCATTTGCCATCCAAGCTTACCAGCCAGGGACATTGAGAAGAAATATTCACAGGAAGAAAAAGGAATCCCATAGGAAACGAAGCTTCAATTACATCAGTCCCTTGCAATACGATAGACACACAGCCTGGAATGGAGAAGTGCCAACCTGTATTCAGGCAAGGTCTGTCTGCAGTTTCTAGTCGTCTAATATTGTGTTGGATGCAACAGAAGTCACGAGACACAGCTAAAAACATCATGTTTTGGGATATGTTTCAACAAGGTAAGAGAGAAACAACTTCTCAGCACAGCTCAAAGCCCTCACACTTCCACCTGTAAACTCACGCCAACACTGGCTGCTGCTACAGTAGTGCTGTGTTCTGCTGTGGACACACGCAGAGAGCGGACAGCCTTACAGGGACCCTTCCAGGAATGGGCTAATACCAGTGGTCCCCAATAAACAAAACAGTGAAAGCAAGCCTCTTCCCGTGAAAGGTGCTAACCAGTGATGGTTATGTACTGAAGTCAGACACAAGGAGGAGCTCAGCTTTCAGAGGGCTAAGCTCCTTTCTACTCCATGTTAGACCCTTTCTAGATACCTCAAAAGTTGAAACAGATTCCTTGCTTTGGTAACTGGGTGCTATAAGAAATATGTATTCAACTTGCCACTGCTGTAAGGGGGTCTGAGGGACTGCCTCATCCTTTTCCCAGAGAGAAAACAAGCAGGTTCTTACATGTAGTTCCTGACAGAGTCAGGGAGGATAACAACACAGCGCTGACCTTCCTTCAGCTCTTTAGCAGCCTTCACAGCTACAGACATGGCACTGCCTGAGCTGCCACCTGCCAAAATGCAGATCAGAGGCAAAACTGTCAAACGATAAGTGAAATGAGAAAGAATGAAAGAGAGGAGGAGAGACGGTAGAGGAGCTCAGAGTGAGGAAGAACAGCTTCTGAAGCTGAAGCAGGTCTCCCTGACCTGCACAAGGCTTCAGCCTCCCACATATTATTGAGAAACCCAAAGGATTCACATCTGCTCTTACCACACAGCAGTCCTTCCTCTCGGATCAGCATGCGTGCAAAAGCAAACGACTCCTCATCATTGCTCTTGTACCACTGGTCCACTGCCTGGGAAGGAGCAGGAAGACAGAAACATGGTACTGTTTGAATGAAGAGGACTACGGGAGCTACACAACTAGTGTGAATTCAAGCTGTGCTCCTTGAGGTAACAGCTGCCATGTGCCCAGGTTTCCATCCCCCAAATGCCAAGTGGCGTTTTTTTGCCAAGGTAAGATGATCACATCAGCACAACAGGCTCCTTATTGAAACCTTGCTGTGAGAACAGGCTGTTGTGAGACAGCCAGAGAGAGCATCAAACAGTTTCCTCCTCTCTTAGAGGGTTTCCCAGGGACACAGGTTCTGCTCAGGTCATACCAGTTTTGGCTGGGAGGGGTTGGGGTGCTTTATTAAGGGTTTGGGGTTTTTTTTTTTTAATTAGTTGTTGTTGTTGTTTGGGTTTTTTGGGGGTTTTTTTGGGTTGTTTATTTAAAAAAAAAAGTGTGGTTCTACAAAAGCGTTACCTGTTCCCAGCATTCCTACCTAGCATTGTAAAACAGAGGTGGCCAGTGCAGAAGCTTTCCGAGAAGTGCTTTTGCTAATGGAAAAGAACAGGAATAGTTCTATCTGATAGCCCTCCCCTTTCAGCTCAAAGAAATAATTGCCCAGGTTTTTTCCTCCACCTTTCACCTCACTTCTGCATCCCAACAGAGGGCAAAGGGCAGTAAACCAAGAAGCATGACTTACAGATCTATCCAACACTGTGGGGACAAAATCATATCCAATTCCTTCCACTTCATACATTGTCTTGTCAGTCTTGTTCAGTTCTTCTGGTATAGCAAGGATGGAGCCTTCAGGATCAACACCTATAATCTGGAGAAGCAGTTTCCACTTTGGCTACCATGACACACTGCTTTTGAAAACACAGCTATTTACTCACGAGTGCTGGCCTCCTTACAGCTGTTGGTGTCACACTGGCTGCACACACAGCCAAGCTAACAGCAACCTAGTCTCCTATTCATTTCTTCCTGGCAACATTCACCTCCCTCCCCTGTGAGCAAAATGCTTTGCTGCTTCTGGCCTTTTAGCAACCCATCCTGTCTCCTCAGGCTGTAGACACTAAGTGGGGGGCACCACTTGTTCTACATGAGTTTTGCTTGGTTTAAACAGAAGACAGGGTTTCCCCAAGACAAAACTGTCTGTCCTTATTCACTTGTCAGGCATCACCACAGCCTATTAACTGTAGTGCACATTTTGTGCCAAGTATAAGCAGATAAGTTTTATCTTGTTTACCACTCCCTGCCTATACAGAAAAATATTCACAATTGAAACACAATACCAACTTCCGTGAGGAAATCTAACACGGCACACAGGTAGACACACAAGTTGGTGTGGGCAGAGAAAATTTCACTTGGTAAAAAACCTCAGAAGCTCCAGACAAGTTAGTGAAGGCACAGTCAGAGGAAACAGAAGGCTGCAGTACACACAAGAGAAAGAAGTTTCTCAGACACCCCATGAAGGAATCCAAGAGCCAGTTTCATCTGCTGAGCCAAACCTGAACTCTGGTCACCAGTGGGCCCAGTGCACAATGATTTCAGACAGTCTGAAAACCATTCTTTGCTGCTCAGAAAGCTACCTTCTAACTGAGAACATTCAAGAGCTTCCCACAGAGACCCAGGGCAGGCTTGCAAGGAATGGGACGTGCCAAGTGGAGCAGTTTGAGGTTCCCCCCACTGAAGAGAAATGCTTTAGGCTTGCCACTTACTTTGCAACCTGGACACTTCTCCTTTAGCTTTCTGGAGATGCCAGTGATAGTACCTCCTGTGCCAGCCGCAGCCACCAGCATGTCTATTTTTCCTGTTTAAAGGTGAGGGATACAAGACAGTTGTGAAGTCTCCCCCAGAATGATGGATTAAAAACCCATTTAAACCTAAGTATGGACTTCTTTTTAAACAAAAATGGGCAAGATAAGGCTCTTTGCTTCCCAAGAGCTCTGTTGTGAGACCACCTTGCTCAATCCCCATTTACTTCAACAATGGTTTTGAAACGTCCATCCAGCGGCCTGGCAAGGCACCAATTTGTAGTACTTTGGACAGAGCTGGAGGTGGCCCATACAGCTGACACCTGTAGTTTTCCTGTTACTGTATCTGCTGATGTAGAGAATTCATTCTTTAACTTAGAATGAGCAGCCCATTATATTAGTTAATTTACTGAATGAGTGCCAACAACATGGGACAGGTACCCATTGAGAAAACTGTTAACACAACTACTCTCTCATTTTCATGTGAAAAATACTGGTTTGGTCACTCGGAGTGAGTACAGTTATTCTGTCATGCCCTACAGCTTCCATGGTACATCCACATGATAACTTTGTTAATAAAAAATGCACACACCAATTCACACACAAAACCAAATGTTTATCAGACAAAAGAATAAACCCCTGCCAAGCAGGGGTATAAGCACAGTAATAACTGAACAGTGACTGGCCTATGAGGAAAAGACAAACAAGAAGCCTAAGGCTAGAACTCATCTAGACTCTTAGTTTGTAGGATGGCAGTCTGTTAAAGTATACTCACTTTAACTCAAACTTAAAGAAAGTTTTCCACAGAAAGGCAAGCCAAATCCTCTGAACAGCTAGAGTTACTTTGGGTGGTGTGGGGAGAGAAGAACCCTTCATATGGTCCTCACCTTAATGAGAAGGAATTTAATAGCCAATTTCCTTACTAGAGGGTCCCAGAAACTGTACTGGTTTATAAGGCAGGTCAGAAGCCTCCTATAAAACTTCCTTCTACCACCTATGGCAAATGCCTACATGGTAGGCTGCAGCATCACACTGAATGCCTCCAATAGCTCTCAAACCAGTTCCTCCGCTGAGTGAGTCAGCCCAGCTACAGCTCTCTGCTGCCACAGCTCAATCACTTCTGGTACTCCAACCTAGCTGCCTAGAACCACATGAAAGCAAGCCCTGCAGAGTAAGCAGGTCTTATTGGTTACAACTGCAATACAGAGAGTTTGTACTCCCGAGGACTTCTAAGTGAAGCAGCTTCCAGTATAATAGAGTATTTGGTCTGAGAATAAAAATACCTAAGTGCCAGATCCTGCACTTGGGTTACAACAACCCCATGCAATGCTACAGGCTTGGGAATGAGTGGCTGGAAAGCTGCCTGGCAGAGAGGGATCTGGAGGTACTGGTTGTCAGCCAACTGAATATGAACCAGCAGTGTGCCCAGGTGGCCAAGAAGGCCAATGGCATCCTAGCTAGTATCAGGAATTGTGTGGCCAGCAGGAGTAGGGAAGTGATCATGCCCCTGTACTCGGCACTAGTGAGGCCACACCTCGAATGCTGGGTTCAGAGTTTTGGGCCCCTCACTACAAGGAGGACATTGAGGGGCTGGAGCGTGTCCAGAGAAGGGCAGCAAAGCTGGTGAGGGGTCTGGAGCACAGGTCTGACGGGGAGCGGCTGAGGGAACTGGGGTTGTTCAGCCTGGAGAAGAGGAGGCTGAGGGGAGACCTTATCGCCCTCTACAACTGCCTGAAAGGAGGCTGTTAGTGAGGTGGGGGTCGGCCTCTTCTCCCAAGTAACATGCAATAGGAGAAGGGAAATGGCCTCAAGTTGTGTCAGGGGAGGTATGGATTGGATATTAGGAAAAAATTCTTTACTAAAAAAGTTGTCAAGCATTGGAACAGGCTGCCCAGAGAGGTGGTGGAGTACCCATCCCTGGAGGTATTTCAAAGACATGAAGATGTGGTGTTTAGGGACATTCTGTGATTCTACAATTCTGTATTTGTGATCAGAGAAAGTGATGCTGTTCCTTCATGCCACTCTAGCTACGGCTTTTTTTTTTTTTTTTTTTTTTGATAACTTAAGCATCACTGCTTTCTCCACCTGGTCATAAGCAGAGAAATCTAAAAACCAAAGCACCCCTCTTTAATGGGGAAAAAACCCAACACATCTCTCAACCACCTGAGGTCCCATTCTCCAGTTACCTAACAGTAAGAGAATACTAGGGACTCATTGAAGAGGGGGTTAGTAGTAGAACAAACATACCTTCACACTGCTGCAGGATCTCTTCAGCTGTGGTGTCATAGTGCGTCAGGGGGTTGCTGGCATTACGGTACTATATTGAAAGACAGAAGAGCCATTAAGTAAACTAGAAAGACAATAAAATTCACATTGTGAGGCATTTCAAAGACATAACAACCATTCTCCAAGCCCCATGACATATACATACTCTTTCCAGACTGTTTCCTGGTTATCTGGACCTAGGCAGAACATCCTAGGGGAGGTACAACCTTCTCAAGTGACCTAATTTAAGAGTAGTTCTAAGGTGCCAGCAGCCTCCAATGCCAAGATCTGTCCCACCTGTGGGACAGGATTTTTTTTTTTTAGAACACAAGCCTTGTACCTGTTCTTCCACAAATGACTGACAATTCAGCAGAAAGCTGCTGCTGTTTCTGCAAACATAGACTCTTTGCTGCCCTCTAGTGACTACAAAAAGCTTGCTATCCTACAGCATGGTGATGGCTCAACTACAGCTCCAGACCTGGGACACCTTTTCCTCCACACACCTAGGCTGTTGAACTGTCAACCAAGGACACCAAGGAACAAGGCTGCAATACCTCCTCCCACACTACACCTGCACCTCTGACACTTTGGTTCTTACCTGGTCTAGTATATGTGCATTGGGGATTTCGTTTTTCAGTCTCCATGCTACTCCCACGTGAGATTCAGGAGAATCAAATCTGGCAGTAGTTGGGGTCCTCACAATCTCAGCACCCAGAGCTCTCAGGACATCCACCTGTAAAAAATAAAAGTGGTCACAAAACCCAAAACTGCTCTCCCAGCACAGAGATTGATTGAGATCCAGTGGAAAGGAAACACAGAATCATAGAATGCTTTGGATTGAAAGGGACATTTAGAGGTCATCTAGTCCAACTTCTCTGCAGTGAGCAGGGGCACCTTCAACTGGATCAGGTTGCTCAGAGCTCCATCCAACCTGGTCTTGAATGTTTCCAGGGATGGGGCATCAACCACCTCTCTGGGCAACCCATTCCAGTGCTTCACCACCCTCACTGTGAAGAATTTCTTCCTTATATCCAGTCTAAACCTACCTTGGTTTAGTTTAAAACCATTACCTCTTGTCCTGTCACAGCAGGTCTCGCTAAAAAGACTGTCCCCGCCTTTCCTATAGGCCCCCTTTAAGTACTGAAAGGCCACAATCAGGTCTCCCCGCAGTCTTCTCTTCTCCAGGCTGAACAACCCCAACTCTCTCAGCTTGTCCTCACAGGAGAGGTGCTCCAGCCCTTGGATCATCTCTGTGGCCCTCCTCTGGACCTGCTCGAACACGTCCGTGTCTTTCCTGTGCTGAGGGCTCCAGAGCTGGATGCAGGGCTCCAGGTGGGGTCTCACCAGAGCAGAGCAGAGGGGCAGAATCACCTCCCTCAACCTGCTGGCTACGCTGCTTTTGATGCAGCCTAGGAGACAGTTTGTCTTCTGGGCTGCAAGCACACATTGTTGGTTCATGTCCAGCTTTTCACCCATCAGTACCCCCAAGTCTTTCTCCGCAGGGCTGCTCTCAATGCCTTCACCCCCCAGACTGCATTGATTCTGAGGGTTGCCCTGACCCATGTGCCTTGTTGAACCTCATGAGGTTCACAGAGGCCCACCTCTCCAGCTTGTCCAGGTCTCTTTGGATGGCATCCTGTCTTTCTGGCTTGTTAACTGCACGACTCAGCTTGGTGTCATCATCTGCAAAATTCCTGAGGGTGCACTCGATCTCACTGTCTATGTCACTGATGAAAATATTAAACAGCACTGGTTCCAGTATGGACCCCTGAGGGACACCACTTGTCACTAGTCTCCATCTGGACATCGAGCCATTGACCACTAACTTCTGGATGCAATCATCCAACCAGTTCCTTATCCACTAAACAGTCCACCTATCAAATTCATATCTCCCCAATTTAGAGCAAAGGATGTTGTGGGGGACCATGTCAAAGGCTTTGCAGAAGTCAAGATACATGGCATCCATTGTTTTTCCCTTGTCCACTGATGCAGTCACTCCATCACAGAAAGCCACTAGATTGGTCAGGCATGACTTGCCCTCAGTGAAGCCGTGCTGGCTGTCTCTCCCTGTCCTCCATGTGCTTTAGCATAGCTTCTAGGAGGATCTGTTCCATGATCTTCCCAAGCACAGAGGGTGAGGCTGTCTCCAGTCTTGACATTGCTGGTGAGCTCACTTGCATTGGTGGAGTTCACACTCCTAAACAAAGGAGCTCACAAGCTCCTGAGCAAAGACCCTCTTTCCACTTTGAGAAAGGTGGCTCCCGTTTGACACCAGCAAGCCTGGTGCCATGTAGGCCATCCCATTGTCAAACAACCCAAAGTTGTAACGGTGACACCAGCCATGGAGCCATGTATTCATAGATTGGGTCTGCCTGTTCCTTCCAATGACACTGCCCACAACTGGAAGGAGGGAGGAAAAAAATCACCTGTGCCCCAGATTCCCTCACGAACCATCCCAAGGCCCTGAAGTCTCTTTTAACAACCCTTGGGCTACATACTGCAACTTCATCACCACCCTCATGGAAGAGCAGTAATGGGTAGTAGTCCGAGGGCTGTACCAGGCTATGAAGTTTCCTGGTGGTATCTCTAACCTGGGCTCCTGGGAGGCAGCACACTTCCCTCCACAAAAAAAAACATCTTCCTTTTTACCTCGTCTACAATAGCTTCCTTACCAGTTCTCCTACACCCCAGCCTCACAGCATCACTGAGCCATGGGTCCGAATCCTTAATGTAATTCAGTCTCAACTAAGCTTTAGTTGGGAGCTGGTTGTCAAATTCCTGTTTCCATTCTAGGCCCTCAGGCCTGTAGGGCTATGACTACATATTGAGAAGCCTCATTCAGGCAAGACACTCTCTCCTCTCATGCCAGCCACATATGCTCTGCACTCCAACAGTGCTACAGCCCAGTATTTTATGTTTTAGTGCAAATTATGTATATTTACCTGCTCCTTTAGGCACAGGCAGCAAAACAGATCCTTCAGGGCCCTATGCACCACTCAGCTGCCCTCAGCTGGAGCACTGGAAGTGTTTGAACTGAGATAAGTGGTTTTGCTGACAGCAATCAGCTGTGAAACAAAGGGGATCTCTCCTTTTGGCTGCAGGTGCAGCACCACCCTAGTGGAGCACGGGACAGGGGTTGCTCTAGAGCTGGACACTGCGTGTGCTTTCCACAGTGAAGGTAAGTGGACATTACCCAGGTGGCTTTTCCTTCCCCTTCGTTGCTGTGGTGACACAACTCCGATGCTTGCCAGCACCCCTCAGTGTAACCTGAGGAGCTCCACAGGCTGCCTGCCTCATGGCCTTGCTCAGCTCTGTGCAGAACAGAAGAATATTCAAAGCTTCCACATTGCCTTACTTTGTCCTCCTTTGCCTAGTGAGCAGCAGCTAACCCCAGGGGGAAGTAGTTACTTCAATGTGCTAGGTAAACCTCAGGTTCCCTTGACATTTGTATTTAAAAGTTATGACTGTTTTCCAAGCGACAATGCTGCGGGGACAGGTCTTAAACACATTTCTGTCCATGGCTAGCCAGCCTGGATTTCTCTGGGCACTGAAAGTAGGCCCTCAGCAGAGTTCTGCCTAGCCAATAACTTGGAAGCCAAGAGCCTACACCTTCATTGCTAAAGTTGCAGCACTCATGTGCACCAGGAACTCAGCAAGTGCAAACATCCTTATTATTTTCAAGAATTAAAAAAAAAAGCAGATCTGACCTTCTCCATACTCATTTTCTCTGGCATCACAATGATACAGCGGTAACCCTTCACTGCTGCAGCCAAGGCCAGCCCAATTCCTGGAAGCAAGCAAAGACATGTAGAGCACACAGTGAGGAGCAACAAAGAACAAAACCCACAATGCTAGCTTTGGCATGCCCTGGCTTTAATCAGATTTTCATCAGAGGCTTGAGTACAGCGTCTCCAAAGGGGTGGCAAAGGGAACGTTTCTGGCTACCGAGGAGAACTGAATTTACAGATGCTGCTAGTTCTTTGAGGATCACAGCAAACAGAACATTTAACCAAGGGTGGGGAAACTTGACATGTGCAAACTGCTAGCTTTACCACATGCACATCACCTTCCTCCTGTCTCACCCTTTTTACAGAAGTAATTTGGGAAAGGAATGAGCTTTAAGCTAAAGATGACTACAGCAATCATTCTGATACTGTCAGAAGAGTATTAGAGCCTCTGTTGACTCACACCTTCATTAAGTCCCTAGTCTGCAATGTGCCAAAACTAAGTCCTTTCTAAAAGGACATGATTTAGATTGTGTGTGTGATTGAGGTTCTAATGCACTAGGCCAACTTGCTACCACAGTGACTTGACTGTTAGAGACAGACACCTCATTTCTACTTTAAAAATCTGCACCTCTAGCTTGTCATTGTCCACCTACCTGAAGAGGTAAGCTCAGAAGTGCCTTCCCCATAGAAGAAAAGCTTATACCTGTTATCAGATCACCTCTCTTCTGGGTAAGCTGAAGAGATCAAGTTAGTTGATACGTGTTTGAGGTCAGGCTGCACAGCACCTCCCCTGCCGTTTTGAGTACTAGGCACAATACCAACACATGCATATGACAATGCCTCACAGGCACTTTACCCTACACAGAGTTGCTTGTTCAAAGCTGGCTCTGTTTCTACATGGTTCTAGACTGCATAGAGGTGGGGTGGGGGAAAAAAGTCTTTAACTGTTTGTATAAGAGAAGCATAAGTCTCATCTCAAGTAATTAAGTAGTGTTTAAATATTTGGGCAGGGAAAAAAAAAAACCAAAACACCACTCCACACTTTTCCCAGTATATTATAGATAATTATGGATGCCAAAAAAAAACCCCACCAAAAAAACCCCACCAGCAAACAAAAAAGAGACAGCAAAGGCCTCACTAAGGCCAAAAACTGAAGATAATCCATCCAGCACACTCCCTTGTGGTCTGTGATGAAGAAAGCACTTTGAGACCTCAATTCTAACACTTTGTACTTTCTGCTACTGACTTGGAAATGCAGCACACATCAAAACAGGACTTTGGCTGAGGGAGAAGCGAGATGCAGAGTGGACAAAAATGTAACACATTAGCTCTCTCATTTAAAATACTCAGTAGCTCTGAGCAGTAGCCAAGAACAAAAGCTAATTCACTGAGGTTACTGCCTGCCCTGATTTTTGCCTTTAAATGGAAAAAAAGACAGCTTTCTGAACTAACTGTCCTGTACCTCCTTCAGTTCTGCCTTCTTTCTGTCTTTTGAATTCTGTGGCAAGGAGAACCATTTATCAAGTACTGACACAGAAAGCAGGATATCATAGTATGACCTCAGATACTGGAGGAATGCAATATATGGATATTTTCCACTACATGCCATTGTTCAGGCAAGAGGTACAGCCACGGTCACAAGGGCTTCAGTTGCACTGCTCCCCGCACAGAGCACCTGCTGAGCAAACAGCAACAGATACAACTTCCCAGCTTTCTGCTGAAGGCAGGGGAACTGGTCCCAGTCCCTCCATTAACAAAGGCTGGGCTAGACTGAAAGAACAACAGAAAGATCTGCCCAGCCTATGTCTATCCATCTATGCTCCAGTCTCAAGTCTGCCTCTTCCAGGAAAACCACCACAGCATTTTCCCCCCACACTTTGCTAGGGTCTCTACATCCCCTACCTGTGTTTCCAGAGGTTGGCTCTATGATCGTGTCCCCGGGCTTCAAGATCCCAGCCTTCTCAGCATCCTCTACCATCCTCAGGCTGATGCGGTCCTTCACACTGCCCCCAGCATTGAAGAACTCACATTTTGCCACTGGAAACAAAGAAACCAGGTGGAGTTCTTAAACAGCAGTCATTTGCTAAACAGGCTGCTGATCCCCAACATATCTGCAAGAGCAACTCTGTTAACACATCTGCCCAATTCACCTCCCTACTTTACAACACCAGAGACATGGATTCAGTTCACAGATCTCCACTGTTGTGGGTCACAAAAACACAGCAAGTTTGGTACTTAATGCTGGCCACAGAAGCCAGGAACCCATACCCTGTCAGTCTCTTCAAAATATTACCCCTCCTTTCATCTTTCCTCTTTATTACAGCCCAGCCATTAGTATAAAAAGCTCCAGGGCTCTTCCAGTGTAATAGCATGGGAGAAGAGAACTCTACCAACGTGCCTTGTCTCTTTCCTGCTATATTCTCCAGCCAAAGTGTTTCTGATCAATCTGGAAGTTTCTCCCCTTGTTCAGCCTACATTTTCACTTCAGTACTCCCAGTATTAATCCCCTCAATGATGTTAAACACCACCTTTTAGGATTCTGATCAGAGCCTCCAGATATCTCCAGTATGGTTGGGTTTAAAAAAAGCAAACAAACAAAAACCACCAGTCTCTGACAGTTTCATGCCTTTCATCATTTTCAGTGATCCTTGGTGGTAACTGCAGGTCTGCATTTTACACACACTGATGAACATTCTGAAAATGAGAAGCAGTCAAAAACTTCATACAACTTTGTTAAAATTAAAAAATTATTTTCTATGAAAAAAGTTTTACTTTTTCTACAAAAATGGAAAAGCTACAGGAAATGTCCTCATCAAGTAAAAATTGAAAGATGTTTTAGATGACCAAATCCTAAACCACTGAAAATCTGCCAAAGAAAAAGAGGAATTTTTCTCACCATTTCTGCAGGGTACCTGCACTCCTCCTATGTCCAGGTTACATGACACTACCAATCAGGACTACCCAAGCTTCTGAAACAGTGTTTTTTATTTTGATTTTCTGCCTGCAGCAGTACTCACAGAGTTCACACTTGAGCCCATGCTGCTTCCCAATCTTGTTGATTCGCACCAAGGGTGTATTGCCAACTTTATCCAGGATGCTTGGCATGATTTTCAGAGGCTCTGGCCTGGTACACGTACAAAAAAAGTCAGTGTATTCACTGAAGGGGCCACAGACAGGTCACGCAGAAGCAACACAGCATTCCCGATGCCTTTTATTTCAACCAGCTTTCTCCCTCCCCTTTAGCAGACTGGTTATTTTAGGTATTTTGGTTTAAAAGAACGCCCATTGGATACAAACTCACAAAACATCAAGTCCTTGATCCAAAACAAGGATTAATCAGACATCAAGCCAAGTGCTGAGGGAAAATGAAGTGCTCTGCACTTCCTCCTGGCACGAAGTAGCTTAGCACTGCTCAGAGTGAGCTATTTTACAAGCAAAAGGCATTAACAGTGCAATCTTTCATCTAGTCAGGGAACTGCTTGCCAGGTTACTTAAGTTAGTTCCAGTACACGTAGTTTCACATCTTTGGTGCAAGGCCCCTTGGATGCTTAATCTGGGTTCTTAGTTTTGCTTACACATAGAAATTAAGAAGCACCAACTTATCTACATGTTAAACATCATCAGTTCAAATCAGTAATCTCTTGTTAAATACACACGGCTGGGAGGGGACCTGGATTAGTGCTGTACTGAACATCAGCAAATAAAAGTAATACTTACAGAGTGGTATGACGATGCGGGGAGGCAGAGAGGGGTTTCCCAAGCTTCCACGTACATTTGCTAGGTGTATCTGGGCGGATCCAGTCCATTTCCTTCTCATTAGCCTTGCAGTTCCCATTGTCCATCCCACCAGGGAGAAAATATTTGCCAGGTGCATGAGGGCATGAATTTGTATCTGGCTTCTCCTGAGAAGGAAGTGTAGGCATTTCATTCTTGGAGGGGGGGGGGGGG